CAGCTCCTTCGGGAACTCTTGTCCTGCGAGTTTGTTCCCGGTCTACCGTAAGAGACAGGGCACGCTCTTCCAGCCGGCTGTACGCCCCAGTCATCGCACACACGCCAGGGTTTGGCACCGCCTCCTGTCTGTTTGTTTAGCCAGAGTCTCACACAGCCCAGGCTGGCCTTGAACTATCTATGTAGCCAACATCAATTGTGAACTTTTTTCTAGATTTATGTGTATGAGTGCTTTACCTGCACTTATATGTGTCTACCACTTCAGAAGAAGGCATCAGAGCCCCTGGAACTGGAGTTATGATTACGAGCCACCATGTGGGTACTGGGAATTGAACTAGGGTACTCTGCAAGAGCAACAAGTGTTTTTAACTGTTGATTCATCTTTTTTTTTTTTTAAGTATTACACCGTGTGTGTGTGTGTGTGTGTGTGTGTGTATGTGTGTGTGTTTGTGCACGTATGTATAGGGTATACAGGCTTGTGCTGCCATGGTGTACCTATCAAAGTCAGAGGACAACTCTGTCGAGTCTGTCTTTTCCTACCTTTATGCAGGTCCTACAGTTCAAACTCAAGAGGTCATACTTGTCCAGAAGTGCTCTATCCATTGTTCCATCTCCCTGGCTTTGACCTTGAACTAATTCTCCTGCTTCTACATTCCAAGTGCAGGGATCACAACCATTTGCTCCATGTCTGTCTCCGGGGTTTGGAGTTGGTACAAGTGTTCCAGCACTGGTGCATATAAAAGCCAGGCTTCTTTGCTTTCCTTGTCACTATTTCCACGCTCCCTGGACATCCCGTCAATGCCCTCTGTCCACTGTCCCCACGCTCCCTGAACGTCCAGTGATGCCCCTCTGTCCCACTGTCTCCATGCTCCCTGGCCGTCCCATTGATGCCCTCTGTCCACGGTCCCCACGCTCCCTGGACATCCAGTGATGCCCAGCACTACCTTACCTGGACGCTGTGATGCCCCACCTCCCAGTCCTTCCAGCACTTCCTTCTGGTCAATTCTGAAAGTGCTGTTCAGCGGAACTGTGAGGGTGTCGGGTGTTCTAGCACAAAGTAGGGCTTTCCCTAAGCTGTCTGGTTGCTTTCTACTATTCCCAACTTGTAAGGGCTCATCAACTCCTAAAATGTCAGTAACACCTCAGAGAGCTTAGCAAGGTGGATGATGCAGGCCATGTTGACACAACCTGCATCATGCCAGCAGCCTCGGGCTGGCCTCCCTCACTCCAGCCAGCTGTACTCCAATGCATTCCTTGTATGCCTTCCCAAGCTCTTCTGGTGCTCACTCAGGGCCAGGCGCTGCTCCAGATGGCAAAACAAACAGCTGTGGTAATGCACAGTAGTTGAGGGCACAGCCTTTGGAGAGCAGTGGCTCTGCCCTTTCTGGAAGTCCCTTCACCTCACTGCATCTCCATTTCTTTGTTTATGCAGTGGGACCAATACAGGTGCATATTCTCAGGACGACAGAAAGATAACTGGGATGTGAGGTTGGGCAGTGCAGCGACAGAGTGCTTGCCGGGCATGTGTGAGGCTCGGGTGCAATCCTCAGCGCTGTCACTAAAGAAAGGGGAACACGTGGAAAGCAGCCAGCATGGTGCCCGGCACATAGAAAGCATTCCCTGCTCACACAGCAATGAAGGGAAGATCGGGCAAGTGGCAGGAGCAGAGTGGAGACACGGGAGTGCTTGGTGGGAGGAGTGAGTGGGCAGAGGAGACCGGGTGGCAAATCCTGGTGGAGCTCCATGGAACCAGCTCTGAAGTCCAGAATGGAATTTCCTCAGAGAAGAGACGGGAAAGTTTCTGCAGCTCGCTAACCTGAGCAAAGGTACCAAAGAACGGGGAGGTTATGTGTGTGCCACTAACAGCCATCTGCTGCTTCGTGCAAATCCTGTTAGTAGACCATGAGCTCCTAAGAGAAAGACTTCAGCCTCCCGAGCCTTCCCCTCCAGCAGCCAAGCACTAACTGGACACTGGGCGATGTATGAGACAGGGTCACCAGCGCACCCTGCCCTCCTGAAACTTCCTCAGGAAGACAGCAGGACACCAAACAAGAAGACTCACACACAGTGTGCTAGGGAGGAACACAAAGAGCATCCTACGGAGCAGTGTGACTCAGGGTGGAGGTCAGGGGAAGCTATTCTTCAGGAGATACAAATGAGTCATGAGGACACCGAGCTGGAAGAGTGTCCTAGAAAGAGGACACATTCCCGAGCTGTGAGGGAGCTGGTCATACTCCCTCACCCTGCACCCGAGCCTCACACATGCCCGGCAAGAAATACAAGCAAGCCAGAGTCAGAGTGCACGGTGAGAGAGAAGGGCAGTCCAGGCACGATGGGCAAGGCTTCAGTCATGTCCAACCTTGGTAAGCCACTGCAGAGTTTGGATTTTATTCTAAAATTCACTAGGAAGCCGCTGGCAGGGGTCAAGTGAGGACATGATCTGGCTGTCATTTCTAAACCCCGCTGGCTGCACGGTGGAGCCGGCTGTGAAGAGAATCAAAGGGAAGGGCCGGAGTCCACCAGAGCAAACTCTAGTCTTGGAACGGGAGATGAGATGTCTGGAACCTCTGCTTCCATCAAGTCACACAATCTACTCTCTTTGCAAGGTCCAGCTCTCTCGGGTGGGCACGTAGGGGGCTTGGTCACTAAGGTCACTGCCCATTGGTTGACTATGTCTCCTCCAGGCCATTCCCACTTCCTTTCCTCTTCAGCCCCCATTCTCCTCCCCTTCTGAAATCTCAAGTTCCTGTGTCTAATGCTGACTTCACGAGCACCTGCTGGTCCCTCCCTCCCTTTTCTCTCTCCACACCATGACCCACAATAATAGTAGCTCAATGTAAAGAACATATTTATTGTCTGTTCAGAAACCCAAGGGTGACTATGTAGTGGCCATAACCCGCACACATCCTGCAGGTCAGACACAGGGTCTGCTCACATCCCAGTCTGATCGTCCATAGCAGCCAGAGAAATCTTTCAACAGAGGAGATCTGAGCAGGACTAAAGCTCATCATGACTGCTCTTGGTCCTCGGGTAAATATCAGCTTCTTCGGTGGGGGCCACAGTGTCTCGCCTTGTTAGGAACCCAGGACACACCCCGCCATTTCCTCGTTGCTCCCGTGGCTCCGCCATATGTCCTTGCAGAACGCGCCCCCTATCTGCCACAGGACTGTTGTACATCCTCTCCTCTGTTTCCAAGTTCTCTGACCTCCCCTTTCCTTCAGCTGAGAGTCATTCTTCAGACCGCTGCCCAAATTTTCTTCTTAGAAAAATCTCCTACCATGTGCGTCAATGTACACTCACAGGATGGTCTGAGATGTGTCAAAGCACCTGATTTTATAACAACACAGTTCCTTGTGCAGATCTTTTGAGACAGGGTCTCATTATATAGTCTATGTGAACCCCAAACACATAATCCTCCTGCCTCAGGCTCCTAGTATTTTGTGTGAAATGAAGATGGGTGACGTGTTTGTCTCACAGATAAAGACCTGGACGCAGACCCCAGCACCCATGGAAGCAGCCAGCATGTGCTTGTCTGTAAGCCCAGCACTGGGGTACGGGGTAAGGTGGGGCGAGTGGGTAGGGTAGACAAGCATATCCCAGGGGCTCACTGGCCAGCTAAAATGGTTCCAGGTTCAGTGCAACAACATGTTTTCAGTAAATAAAGATAGAGTGATAAGACACCAGTTTTCAAACTCTGGCAACCAAACACACACACACACACACACACACACACACACACACACACACACACTTCTTACTTTAGGCTAGGGATATGGTTCAGCAGTAGGGTGTCTGCCTTTAAGTAAGAAGGCAGTCCATCCCCAGCATTCTCAGTGGCAAAACAAACAAAGCTAATTCTCCTTTCCCACCAGCTGGGAGGAGCAAGACCTTGGCCTCTTTTTGCTTCTGTCTCCCAAACAGAAGCTGACTATAACATGGTATGTCATGAGATCAGATATGGAAAGATTTCCCAAAAATCTCACATCTATTTATTTTGGTGACTGGCAAGCAAATAGTACTGCCAGGAAAGAGGAGGAGTAGGGAGCGTCACACCCGTGTCGCAACACTCAGGAAGTTTCCCCTGCCTTTCCCAGACCCCACTACCATGTCAACCAGGCATTTGCTTCCAAAACCCACCACCCTTCTGCAACAGCATCGTCTCGGTTCCCTTCCCTCCTTCAAATCCTCTTTCCAGGCCAGCAATCACATCTGATCAGGTTTCACAAGAAGGGGAGGGGGGTGAGATTCAAAAAGCTACTACTCGCTTATTAGGGCTCACACAATAAACCGTGATTCACAGAGTCCTTAAAACAGTCCTGTGAAGTAAACCGTGCAAATATCACTATTTCCATTTTAATAGATGGGGAAACTGAGGTTCAAAGAGGCAAGTGGCACGCACAAGGTGAGAAAGCCTATAAGAAACAGACTGGGACTTGAACCCACACACTCTTAATACCTAGTCCAAATGCTTCCTAATATTAACCGCCCCTGCAGTTCCACCATCAACTACTTAAGGCTGGTGGTGTCGTTCCTGACCCCTCACCGCTTCCCTGGTCCATGAACTTATCGGCTGTCTGGACAGCAGGGCGACGACACACAAAGCCGGCCACTTTCTCAGGGTCTTTGCAAAGCTTCCTCTTAACCACCGAGGAACCAGAATAAAAACACAAAGACCCGCGAAGGTCCCCGGATACGCTCTCGTCCACCTAAGGTAGAGCGAGGTAAGGCCAGAAGCCGGCGTCTGCCGCCAAAGGGGACCCGCGGACAGAGGTCACTGCTCCGGGACACCGGGCAGCAGGCGATGCAGGGGATGCGGCGGTGCTGGCGGCTCCGGGTTCGGCCCAAGGTCACCCTCCCCGGCCACCCTCAGCGCCCTCTGGCGTCCCACGCGGGCCTCCCCCCGGCTCTCGGGGACACGCCCAGAGCCCCGGCTGGAACCGGAGCCGGGCGGTGGGCACCCGACCCAGACTGAGCCGGGGAGGAGCGGGAGGCGGGCCCCACCTGATAGCTGAGGACGCCGTCCGGCTCGTTGCTCCCGGCGGGCATGGCCGGGCGGAGCTCGGTCTCGCCGGTGGATTCCAGGTTGAGCAGCAGCAGTCCTCGCCCTCTGGTCCCGTGTGAGCGGATCGCACAGGCGGCGACCCCAACCCTGAAGCCAACGCTCAACCATCAGCCGGCGCCACCTTCATAGCCACCAGCCGGCGAGGCGCCCGCCACAACCAATCAGAGAGCGGACCGAGCAGCCAATCAGAGCGCGGAGCACGGGTGGACGCTATTCGGCGGTACCCTGAGCTACCAGGAAGAGGGGAGGAGGGCGCCAGAGAGCCAACCCCTCCCTGGGCCGGTTGCCTTGGAAACCGTCTCCCTCAGGGTGGGCTGGGGGTTCTGGGCTCAGTCCTTTCAACTGCCTGCTAGGAAGGAAAACCACTGCTTCTGTTTGCATTGCACCGACTCTGGGAAAGTGCTGGGTTTACCTATTGGGCTTTTCTTCCTCGGATGATGGATGTTTAAATTAGAACAAAATCCCTCTCAGAAACTTAGATGGCAGGAGGAAGCAATGATGAGAAGAGGGGCTTCTTAATTGGCTTATTAACTCTCGAGCTAGGATCCAGATTGAAGAGCGCAGACAGGCAGCAGGCAGGCCCCTCCACAGGCTGAGACTTAGGTCTATCTGCCTCTAAGACTGACAGCAGACAGTGGAGTTTGAACTAGGATAATTTCAATTCGTCCTTTTAAAAAAAAAAGTACATAAATAACAAAAAAGGATAAGAAAAAAAGCTTTAAGTCAAATTACTATTCAACAGCAGAACTAACAGATCTGAGGCAAGGTTGGAAAATGATGAGTAACACAGTCAATTCCATCTGGTTTTAAAAGAAAGCAAAGTAGTTAATCCTCTGAGCGAGTCTTAAGAGAGAGAAAGGGCCTTTTGTCTCACAGGCACTATCGCTTGAGGCTGGAGGTGAGTCCACACTGTTGGTGGGAAAGAGACCATGCAAATCATTCGCAGCCTCTGCCAAAGCTCCAGAAGGAAATATGACAAGTCCAAGTTCAATTCCTGTGGTGGTGCGGGCCTACCGTCCAGTCTGGGAGGCTGAGGCCCCAAGAAGTTCAAGGTCAATTTAGACTCCTGGTGACACCCTATCTCAAAATAAATGAACACATAAGTAACATCTTCTGCATACCATCCTTTGTCTAGAACCAAAACTGGAGACAAGACTGAGCCTTGATGTCCCTGAAAAGGGATTATATACCTGGGGAGATGGCTCTGTGTAAGAAGCGCTTCCTATGAAAGTTTAAGGACCTGAGTCCCCTGCCCAGAACCTAAGAAAAAAGCTGGGTTTGGTGGCAAAAGCTTGTAACCCCCTATAGAAACCATGCGTTCTGAGGTTTGCTAGCCAACCAGTATAGACCAATCTACCAGGAGCTCCATCTATTGAGAGGCTCTGTCTTAACAAATAAGGTGGAAAGGGTTGGAGAGATGGCTCAGCAGCAAGAGAAGCTATTACTCTCATAGAGGACCTGGGCTGGTTTCCCATGGTGTCTCACAGCCATCCATAATGGCAGTCTCAGAATCGGTCCACCTCTTCTGGTCTCCTCAGACACCAGAAATGAATGTGGTGCACAGACACACATGCAGGAAAAACAACTGGTGCACATTAAAAAAATAAGTAAAGAGCTATTGAGACCTAGACCTCTGGCCTCCCCATGTGTAGTCACACAGGAATGTGTAAAACACACGCACACACACACACACACACACACACACACACACACCATGCACCTTTATTTCTGATCTTCTATAAAAAGTCCGCTGCCCAGTTTCTCATCTCACAAACAATGATTTGTGCCCCAGTACTCCACACAGCCGCTAAGGATGCTGAGCATCTAGAGGACTGCAAACACATGTGCACTTATTCAATCTACTCATCAATGTATGGAGGTCCAGCAGCACCTCATTATCTGAGTTTTACCAGCAGGACCTACATGAAATAAAAAGAAAGCCAGCTCTTGTAAGCTGTCCTCAGGCCTCTACATGCGCAGCATGGCTGGTGTGTGCACACATCTTATTGAGGCGAAATAAAGAGCACGCAAACAGCTCAAGTCTAGGGTGAAGATTAAGCATGGTAACACGTGCAGAGTAGCCACAACCAGGCCAGAAAGTGCTGTTGGAAGGCACAGTAGAAGTGAGTGTTGCATTAGAAAATGCTCTTGTCGACTGTGGAGCGCTGGGTACTGAGTGCAGACTTCATTTCCCTGTGTAATAAAAAATCAGACCATTAAAGGTTTTAAGGAGCTCCTCTATGTGCCAGGACCTAATGATATAAAATGTGTCGTTCATTGCAGTAGTCTTGGCGTCTCTATCCTCTCTGTTTCACTAGTGAGAAAGCAGCATCACAGGAAAACTAAACAACGTCTTGATCAGGCAATCACTAAGCAGGGATTCAGTCAGCATTTGTTGATTACAATGGCTTTGCTGAGATCTCATGTACCCAGACCTGGTTGTTCGGTGCTGGGGAACCAGCAATGAGAAAAGTTTGCCCCCTTGGTACTTAGTGGTTAGGTTAGGGTTAGTAAGTCAACAAGATCATTCTGTAAGTTATGACAGCCACTGTGAATGAAACGGCAAGGGTTATGTGACAGGGGACGCATCTCCGTGGAGCTGAGGACAATGAGCGGAGGTGAGCCTGGCTGGTCCTGGAGTTTCTGGAGGATGTGCTGCCCTATCTTGGAAAAGCTGCCAGAGGGTGGGATGGTTGATAGGACAACCCTGAAGCATTAGACTGGCCCTGAACAAAAGTGGTGGCCAAAGGGAGGATGTCCCTGATACCTCCCCGCCCCATAAGACAGGTCTCAGCACAGTAAGAGGGGCAGGGCAGGGCAAGAGATCTGATTTCCCTTTAGTGCTGATGCGGAGGCAGTGCCCTGGCCCTTGACTTCAGGGTCAAGAGCCCCATCTTCTGGCCTATCCAAGAATTACAGAAGGAAAGTAGGCCAGAGCCAGAGCTTCTGAGGCTGAGACCTCTCTCCTAGAGCTCATTTGGTCTCTCCTTCCCAAGCTGAGAAGCTGCCTTGCTACCAGGAATCAGTCTTCTAGCTCCCAGCACTCCCTACACTGGTGTAAAAAGTGCAAATGGGCCCTGGAGCAGCTGGATAAAAAAACATTCAACTAAGAAACAGCATTAGCAGACCCCTGGAAGGGGAGTAAAGCGGACAGGAAAATACAAAAACACACATACAGAGGCAGAAGTCATACAGGCGCATCAAATTAGTGGGACACTCGATGGTATGACCTCATCTAATCCTTGCCACACCTCTGTGAAGTAGATTCTCTCATCCCATTTCACAGTTGAGAAACTGAGGCTTAGAGAAGCCATGCCCCAGGTCACCCAGCCAGAACAGTAGGTTCGTGGAGATGCTAGCAGCTGAGGCCAGGTGCATCTGATCCAGACAGGATGGCTCTTGGAAGCCCTGGCTTCCCTGTCTCGTATAGACCCCACCCTCTCTTTCTGCCCTCCAGATGTAGTCTCTGCTTCTCTCTGCTCTTTAATATCGGTGGTTCACACACTTGGGTGAAAGAGGTTTGTCTTGAAAGCCCTGATACATGATAAATTGTTTAAGTCTCTCTCTGTATACAAAGCACACAAATTTGCACAGAAACTCACCGGTAGGCAGGTCTATCCCTGTGCAAACATGTAAGGTACACTTCACACAAATGGAGTCTACTAACACAAATTAAGAGGACTACCATGTCACTCCACGACACAGTCCTAAAGGACCACCATGTCTATATGTTCTACCCTCAATCAAAATGTCTTTATGTGTGAGTGTGTATGCATGTGTGTGTGTGCGAGTGTGTATGCATGTGTGTGTGTGCGAGTGTGAATAGGAATGTGTGTGTGTATATGTGAATAGGAATGCAGGTGAGTGTTAGTTGCTGTGTGTGAATGCACGAATGTATATGTGTGTATGTGATTGTTGTATGCATGTGTGTATGTGAATTCATGTGAGTATGTGAGTGTGAATGTGAATGTATGTGTGTATGTGTTTGCATGTATGTATGACTATATATGCATGTATGTATGTGTATGTATGTATGTATGACTATAAATGCATGTGTGTATGTGTGACTGTATATGCATGTGTGTATGAGTGACTATGTATGCATGTGAATGTATGTGTGACTATGTATGCGTGTGTATGTGTGACTGTGTATGCATGTGTGTGTGACTATGTATGCGTGTGTATGTTTGTGTGACTATGTATGCCTGTGAATGTATGTGTGACTATGTATGCGTGTGTGAATTTGTGTGACTGTGTATGCATGTGAATGTATGTATGACTGTGTATGCATGTGTGTGAATGTGTATGCATGTGTGTGAGTATGTGTGACTATGTATGAATGTGTGTGTGACTGTGTATGCATGTGTGTGTAACTGTGTATGCATGTGTGTGAATGTGTATGCATGTGTGTGAGTATGTGTGACTGTATGCATGTGTGTGTGACTGTGAATGCATGTGTGTGTGACTGTGAATGCATGTGTGTATGTGTGACTGTGTATGCATGTGTGTATGAATGTGTATGCATGTGTGTGAGTATGTGTGACTGTGTATGCATGTGTGTGTGTGACTGTGAATGCATGTGTGTGTGACTGTGTATGCATGTGTGTGTGAATGTGTATGCATGTGTGTCAGGGAGTGCGCATGTGAGTGTGACTGTATTGGCTGGAAGCATTTTTTCCCTAAGAGACAAAATGACAAAAATGCGAGAAACAAACATCTGAGAAAATGTTCTATAATTGCAATCAATTTTTTCCCATCAAAATCATCCTAATTTTTCCTGTCAGCTTGCTTTTCCGCTCCAACCAGGGACCTCGCCTACATTAGGCAGGTGTTTCTACCTCCAGACTACACCCAGGCTCTCCAGCTGAGCCCTATGCCAGTTTTGTTTCTTTGGTTTTTGTTGTTTTGTTTTTATTGTTTCTCCCCGCTCCCCACCCCAGCACTGAGGACTGAACTCGGGGCACACTGGACATGCCAGACAAGCAAGCATTCTATCAACCGAGCTTCATCCCAGCCCTTTGGTCAAGAGAAATGTTGTCTCTTGATATTCCTCTTAATTACACATCTAAGTCCAAGAAAAGGCTGGAGAAAAGGATGG